ACTGTATAAATAAATCAACAAAGTAAAAAATCAACCAACCAAAATATAAGTCGACTGTGTAAAATAAGTCAATTTTTATTTTTTATTTTAATAAAGAATTTAACTTTTAGATATTTATTTACTACCAAAATATTTTTAAAAATAAAAAGTAAATACAAAACTAAATTTCGAATTTAAATTTAATAATTTWAAATTATTTRRAAGWTTTTMAGCATGTTAAATATGTATAAYGGTATTAACGTWCTTTTACGTAATAAAAATGTATATTTTTCCAACTTTACAAGATTAAGTGTTCTTTTCAAATTTTCATATAAAATTTAGGGTACTTTTCAAAATCCCCCTAAAAACAATATATATATTTTTTTTTTTTGAGCAAAAAAAAAACAATATTTTCTTTGTCAACATCTATATCTCTAATAGTTTTCCTTTTTCGGTATTAATTAAAGAGTTCTAAACCAAAATACATGAGATCTCTCAATCGGAACCAAAATCTTTTCAAAAATGATTCGAACCATGGTCCTATACTATTAATCTAATAATCCGTTGATAAAGTCCAGAGGTAGTTCATTAGCTTGTTAGTGGTATATGTATATATATAGTTTCAGCTAGTGGTTATATTTACTAGTGAAAGTCGATGACTAACTTTTGTAGGCTATACGTATTTGATCCTTGTAATATCTGTTAATAAGATATACATTGGTCACTCAGAGTGAGACATCATCATTAAACAAGCTCTCGTTTATGTAAAAATTGAAACATTCTGTTCACATATTATAAGATACTTCAAAAGTGTTTTGTTAGGAAAATGAGGCCAAGTCGGCAATTTTAATCATTGTAATATTTGTTAATAACCCTTTCTTTTGTTAACAGACCATTTTCTCGAGATTTTGCAGAGTATGTTGGAATAGATTCGTTTTCTATACAAAAAAAAGAAATATCAAATAAAAAAGAAAATTAAGGAAAACAAAGAAAAAGGAAAAACAAACAACAAAGAAAATTGGAGAAAAATAAATTTTGAAGAAAATGCAAAATCTAGAATATAGAAATTTATTATATTGTTTAGAATCGTAACTCTATAAATAGAGTTCAAGTCTTAAGGCTTTATGTATCAAACAAAGATCAAAAACAAAGGTAAAAAAAGAGAGAATTAATAATAAAAAGAGAGATTTAAGAAAATATTTTTATTATATAGAAAATCCCAACATGGTATCAGAGCCAAGGTCCTGAGTGCTCTTAAGAAAATTCGTTACGTGCAAAATTCGTGCGAAACAAATTCCGTTGCAAAATCGTTCTGAGCGAAATCTGGGTTTGTGAAAAAAACCAGTTCGTGCAAAGTTCGTCTCTGTGCAAAATCCGAGTTCGAGAAAATTCGTTCTGTGCAAAATCCGGGTTCGTGAAAAGAAACCAGTTCGTGCAAAGTCTGGGCAGAAGCTAAAAGATGACTAAAACCTTGCAAACAATAACTATTCCAGTGTTTGATGGGCAAAACTATGAGCTTTGGGCTACAAGGATAAAAACTACTTTAAGGATTCAAGAGCTTTGGAAAATTGTGGATGAAGGACTTCCACCAAAGCCAAAAGAAAGACCTGAAGAAAAAAGAAAATTATTAGAAGAATGGAAAGAAAAAGAGATGTAAGATATGAAAGCTCTGTGACAGATTTAGTTTTAATGAAAGTAGTTTCTGCAACTACATCTAAGGATTTTTGGAAAAGGCTACAATAAATCTATCAAGGCAACGACCAAACGAAACTTGTGAGGCTGGATTGTTTGAACAAGAAGTTCGAAGATCTAAAGATGAAGGAAGGAGAAAAGATCCGAGATTACACAGATAAAGTACAAGAGGTGGTGAACCAGATGAGTTTACTAGGAGAAGAGAAGACAAATCATCAAGTAATCCGGAAGATACTAAACTCGATGCCAAAGAGTTATGCCYGGTTAGCAGCTTTAATGCAAGAAACCAAAMATCTAAAGAAGATTARTGTGAKAGATCTWGTTGGATCATTGATRTCACATGAAGCAAAYTACCTACCAGAWGATYAACCAATKGAAMGAGCMTTTTATGCAAGAATCAAAGGAGCAAAGTTTGGCCAGAGATCGAATCAACATCAAAGAACAAACAAGTGGTGCAATACATGCKAAAAYGATAATCACAATGAAGYAGARTYTTACTTCAAYAAAGGAAAMTCACC